AAAACTGATGCGTCGGGAAAAACAAAACTACGAATAGTAGTCGATTTCAGAAAACTAAATGATTTAACGATAGGAGATTCTTTCCCATTACCAAATATTAATGATATTTTAGATCAATTAGGAAATGCTAAGTATTTTTCCACTTTAGATTTAGCTTCAGGATATCATCAAATATCCATGACGGAGCAAGACAAAAATAAAACTGCTTTCTCAACACCAACGGGACATTACGAATTCAATCGAATGCCTTTTGGATTAAAGAACGCACCAGCGACATTTCAAAGACTAATGAATTCTGTATTAGCTGGACTGCAAGGAATCAAATGTCTAGTATATTTAGATGATATTGTTATTTATGGCAACAGTCTTGAAAATCATAATAAAAGGCTTATAGATGTCTTGAAAAGATTACGGCATTACAATTTAAAGCTACAACCAGACAAATGTGAATTCCTTCGAAAAGAAGTAGTATACCTGGGGCACATAATTTCAGAAAATGGAATCTTCCCAGATCCAAAGAAATTAGATGCAGTAACAAATTTTCCATCACCCACAAAGGTAAAACACATTCAATCCTTCATAGGACTAGTCGGATATTATAGAAAATTTATCGAAAATTTTTCTAAAATCGCACAACCTCTAACAATGTTGACAAGAAAAAACGTGACTTTTGAATGGGGACCTGAACAACAATCAGCATTTGATAAACTAAAAGAGAGATTAACTACTGCACCAGTACTAAAATATCCAAACTTTGAAGAAGAATTCATCATTACCACAGACGCATCCGACTACGCAATCGGAGCCATTCTGTCACAAGGCCAATTAGGAAAAGATAATCCAATAGCCTATGCAAGTAGAATGTTGTCAAAAGCAGAACGAAACTATAATACAACAGAAAAGGAATTATTGGCAATAATATGGGCTGTAAAGCATTTCAGACCTTATGTATATGGAACTAAATTTAAAATAGTAACTGATCATAAACCATTAGTATGGTTATTTAATGTAACAGATCCTGGGTCACGATTAATAAGATGGAGATTAAAATTAGAAGAATACGATTATGAAATCATACATAAAACAGGGAAAACAAACGTAAATGCCGACGCATTAAGCAGAAATCCGCCAGTGTTCATACTAAATACAAACAAAAAAATTCTTAGTAAAGAAGAATCATATGAAACGAAAGACGAACTAAACAACAAAAATAAAGTCCAAGAATATACGGAGGAAGAAAAGAATCAAATACTTTACGAATATCATAACGCACCCTTAGGAGGTCATCAAGGAATTCAAAGAACATTAAAAAGAATACAACTAAAACATAATTGGAAAGGTATGACCGCAGACATAACTAAATATATAAGCAAATGTGACTTATGCCAAAGAAATAAGGCAACAAAGAAAAACAAATCACCAATGATAATCACAGACACACCAGAAAAACCATTTGAAAAATGCGCATTGGATATAGTAGGTCCATTAACAATAACCCAAAAAGGTAATAAATACTTATTAACCTTTCAGGATAATTTAACAAAATTTAGCAAAGCAATACCGATACCAAACCAAGAAGCATCAACGGTCGCAAGAGAATTCGTAGAAAAAATCGTGCTTGAATATGGAATCCCAGATAAAATTCTGACGGATCAAGGAACGAATTTTTTAAGCAACATTTTTAAAACAGTATGTAAATTATTAAAAATTGAAAAATTACAAACAACAGCATATCATCCACAAAGCAATGGAGCTCTTGAACGTTCACATCGAACACTTGCAGAATATTTGCGCCATTATATAAAAGAAGATCAAACAGATTGGGACGACTGGATACCATATGCTATCTTTACATACAATACAACACCTCATACTAGCACAAATTACACTCCTTTTGAATTGGTATATGGACATCAGGCAAATATACCAACCGCACTAAATCAACCTCCAAAATTCTCATACACAATAGATGATTACGCTCAAGAAATGAAACAAAGATTAAGAGCAACTAATAAAATAGCGAAAGAACATTTGAGAGAAGAAAAAGAAAAGAGCAAAAAGTACTATGACAAGAAAACAAAACAAACTAACTACCAAATAGGAGACCAAGTATTAGTATTCGACGAAACCGTAAGAAGAGGACGATCAAAAAAGCTGGACTCTCTTTGGATAGGACCTTATGATATAATAAAAACGCATTTGAATGAAAACTACACAATAAAAAGAGGACGAAGAACAATACGCGTCCACGCAAATAGATTAAAATTATATATAGAACAATAGAAGGTAATTACCTGAAATCTATCCAACGTGGAAGGCCCTCGAGTAGAAAAAGGGTAAGTCCTCAAAGGTATCCCTCTACCACGTCCTACGGGCGGCAAAAACGACTCCACGAAAGATTCACGTCCTGCAGTAATAGTCGAAGACCCACACTCCCTGGGTTGGTTTACACTTCGACCACGACCGACAGGCGGAAAAACTTCCGGCCTGCCGGGAATGGAGATTATCTCCATCGGAGAAAAGTCGAGTAATAAGTATTTATGGGCGGAACCATAAATGCGGACCCCACAACTAGCACATCTATACTATAAAAGCACCACACACATAATTAAATATATATATATATATATATATTCTCACATTAACACAAACAATATAAAATAAAAATAACATTACCACGGGGCAAGTAATAACACATTCGTGACACAACGACATATTATTTCTTTTCTTTAACGAGTCCGTACAAGGTAACGAATGGAAAGAAACTAAAAATATACGCATTCAAAAGAAAACATTTCTGCTACGTAAAGCAAAGCATCAGATTGCTAAAAGCAACACCCACGATCTAATTACAGAACGCTCATCCTGATAAAGAGCATCGGGTTCATGGCGAATGATACACAAGAAAAAGCGCCGTACGAAATCCAAAAGTTTACACATACACCGGGCATATATTTCGACAAACAAGGTCAGTTATACCAAATCACGTCTACCTGGAAAATAGTTATAAAAGTAAATTTAAAAACATTAGACTTGCGACGAGACCAGTTAGAGGAATACCTCGAAAATACGAAAAAAATTTGTGATGTACAAGGATTCACATCAAATACTGGAAAGACCTGTAATAATTTGTACGATATAGTAAAAACACGACTGAATCGAACACGACTAATACTGAACCGAATTTACGAAATACACTCAATAATACCAAATCGCCGACGCGGCTTAATAGACGGAATAGGTATGATAGCCAAATCTCTTTTCGGTACAATGGACGCAAACGATGAAAAAATCATAAACGAACAACTTCAACTATTAGAAAACAAACAAGAAACATTAAAGCATGTAACAACAAATCAATTAAAAATACTAAATGCAACAATAGGACATTTAGAAGAATTAGAGAAAACCATACAAAAGAATGAAAAAACAATATGGGACCGATTGACACAAGTAAGCGACTTACAAACACGACTTGTTTCACAACAATATTTAGACGAACACTTTACATTACTTGACGCAGCTTTGAATAACTTGGTACAAGACCAAAACGATATTATAACATATTTGAATAATATTAAACAGGGATACTTACCTATACAAATAACACCTATTGATAATATCATTTCACAAATAAAAGAAGCGGCAATTCGAGTACCGCAGAACTCACATTTTCCGTTTAGAATCTCAACGAAAAACTGGCTAGAAATTGAAAAATTTATAACATTAAGTGCATATTATCAAAAAGGAAATATTTTTACAATATTAAATATACCATTAATAACATATCCTACTTACGATATAATAAACGTTCTTCCATTACCAGTACACACGAAAAACGACACATTTGCATGGACCGAAATCACTTATAACAAAATTGCGATTAATAAGGAAACGAATTCATACTTAATTATAAGAGATAACGACTTACAAAATTGTAAGAAAATAAGCGATCATTATATTTGTGGACAGGGGAATCCGATATATAAAATTCAAGCGGACTCACCATGCGAAGTCCATCTATACGTAACTTTAGAAAAAACGGTGAAATGTAATACAAAATATATTCTTGCTAACCACACAGTAGTGATCGCATTGAAGGAAAAAAATGCATGGTTATATTCTACCCGGAATGAACAAAATATATATATCCAATGTAAAGAGAAAAATTATAACACCAAAATTAAAAATACGGGAATAATAAAATTTAAGGAACAATGCAAATTAATATTAAACGAAATAATAATACAATCACAGGGAATAATAGAAGATAAAACAATAGAAACATACATACCGGAATATAACATAACCATCGCAAAAGAACAAATAGAAACTAGAAATAATATCATACCGCGATTAAAAATTAAAAAAATTATTCAAAATCCAACAGAATTAACGGATTTAAGTAAAGAATTGACACAAACGCAAAAAGAATTAGAAAATTCTGATACATTTAGAAATTATAAACAATTAGTTTATACTACCGCACCTAGTGGCATAGTAATTATAATTATAATAATAATAGTAATATTTTTATTAAGAAAAATAAAGAACTTAAGACACTTCGATGTACGACAGATTCTCGAACAAAAAACAAAAATATCTCAACAAAGATCGTCATTATCCACTATAGAAAGCGAAATGAGTGAAATCTCGCCCAGATTATCATCACACTGTAAACCATCGATACCTACCATACCCTCACTAATACGTAGACATAGTATAGAACAATTATAAAATTAAGAAAACGATTATAATAAAAAATTGTACACGGGAAAAACTAAATGTATTTAGGATAAGAATTTAGTGAAAACGAGGCGTTTTCTTTTATCAAGGGGGGAGGGATGTTATGTAGGACAAAACATGTTGAAACGCTAAAAGACGTTTCAGCCGAAATGCATGTATTGCATAAACGAACATTGCGAAATACGGCAAATAAATCAAAAGTGCACGCGCTGCAGAAACATCACGTTACACTTTTGAATTGTTAGGTAATTAGGTCGGTAACCTAATTCCCTAATTTCATGAATGATATATAAAGAGTTGGACCACCTACGCGAAGAGAGAGTAGAGAGAGATACTGACGAGTATAGAGGCGTACGTTACATGTCTCAAGTAAGAGACAGCTGACTCGGGAGTAATAAGAGTGTTTCGCATTATAATAACATTAACCTACTCGGTAAAGGATTAGTTAAAACGTATCTATGTGAAGTGTAATAGAACGTGATCGGAAACTGTAAGAAGACAAGTTCAATAATATATTTTTATTATAAAAACTCCTCAAGGTTATAAGACTCCCTTATTATCCTAACCGTTTGCACGTTCGCACCGGAATCCCAATTACCGGTTGTGCTTACCCTAATCGAGGGCACAACAACAGTTATAAAAACCAAAACACTGGTGACATAGCAGATAGAACAAAAAGTGGGCGTACGCCAAGAAGATAGCCTAAGCCTATTACTGTTTAACCTCTTGATGGACAGAATGGTTGCGGAAGTACGCAGGTCGAACTATGGTTACAATTTGGATAACAAGCGAATCAACATCATCTGCTATGCAGACGACGCAGTTCTGCTCGTTCAAAACGAGGACAATCTACAGCGACTAGTCCAGATCTTCAGGAAGGAAGCCGTAGCGATTGGAATGGAGATTTCAATAAACAAAATAAAGTCGATGATAATAGCGAGAGAACCACGAAGGTGCAAGATAGTCATAAACGAGAAAATAATTGAACAAGTTTCAGAATTCAACTATTTAGGATCGGTCATCTCGGCATACGGCGATCTGAAAGGCATTGTGAGACCCAGATTAACAAAGCAGTCAGAATAGCAAGGACCCTTAGAAGCCCTATATGGAAAAATAGCTGCAAAAGAGAGCAAAATGAGAATCTACAAGACATGCGTAAGACCAGTGTTGACCTATGCCGCAGAAACAAGAGCCTATTCAAGACATTATGCCTTGACAAAGACATTATGCCGGATCAACGAAATGAGAGTCTTAAGAGTGATAACGGGTAACACATTGCTAGACCACAGAAGAAGCAATGGCATACGCAAAGAGTGCCACACGAAGGACGTGGTTAGATCAGAACACGCAGAAGGGGATGGAATGAACACGTGTCAAAGATGGGCGACGATAGATTGCCAAAAATTGCAAGAAACGAGAAGCCGGACTCGAGACGACCACCAGAACGTCCACCAAAGAGATGGAGAGACAATTGGTCATCCACGTCCCAGGAGGTGAACCGAACTGGGTGAAACAAGCCTGAAGGCTTTCGATAAGAAGAAGAAGAAGTAATTTTTCAGATATCACTCCTTAACTATTAATAATCGTAATCATACAACATATCGTAATCATATTAAACAAATATTTTTAATTATTATTTGGTTACAAAATGAGGCATTTGTTAAAGCGGCAAGTTGATTTTATTTAATTCCGACGCCTATCGCCTAGTTAGCAAATTACGAGTAGGCTCAAAATCACTATTATGTTTGGTTGTAAAATAGTATATATTTTATTACTAAACTATTTCATAGTCGAATATACGATACAATTGTACTAAGCTATGTCCCTTTCGCAAATAACACTGTTGTAACACTAATATGAACACTAACTGATATTATTGTTGCGATATTATCGTTAATTTTCTTATTCTTATGGAACGCTTCCTTTGACATTACGGATCTCTCTCTCACTCTCTCCCTCTTTCTCTATCTCTTTCTCTCTTTCCCTCTCTCTCTCTCTCTCTCTTATTCTATTATATTCTCTCTCTTTCTCTCTCTCTTTCCCTCTTTCATATCGGCTGGCCAGGTTGATTTCGACCATAGTGCCTCTAGCGGAGGAATAGAGTCAACTGAGGTTTTCGTAATGAGGAGACGATGACGACGTTTCTCATACATAAATTTACGATTTCGGACTTTGAGTTAAAATATCTCAGCTTTTAGAGCATGTAGAGCAAAAGTAAAAACAGTTTTATTAAGTAATGTAAACCCAAGGTTATTAAATAATATAATCTCAGCGAATCGATTAAGCCCATCCAGAATCTCATCCGTTCAGCCGTTATAGTCGAACGAGGAATCGTGCCTATGTTCAACTAAAGTCATCGCGTAAGTATACGCGGTTGGCCGCGAGCCTTTTGCTTGCGCTTGCACTTGGCTTCGCGACACTACCATGTCACTTGATTTTGAAATTTTACCTGTATAGACATATTCGTGAATAAATATACTTTGGAAAAAAGGAAATAAATATCTTTATAATTAATTAAAGAATAATATTTTTTATCAGATTTCTGGGGATTTTCAAAGAAGGTATAAATATTTTGTGATCTTATGGATATATGTCAAGGTTGAACAATAATGTAAATTATTTGTCAATTTTTATAATGAGCACGACTGCTGAGAGCAAAGCATTGTAACGCAGAAAAATCCCAAAAAATTTATATGGCCTGTAAAATATTAAAAATGAACCAGAGACATTTCGATAAAATCGGAGGCTTGCTTTATGATTCTGGAATAGCAGATTAAATGTTTAGATCAATTTTTCAACTGTAAATATCGCAAAATTTCATCAAAAACTTTAAACACATTTTTCTTGAAATCACATTTTTCAAGTTGGTATACAAAATAATCCAAAAACTAATCAGCTTTATGCAAAGCTGATTCAACTCGTTATAACTCAATAATATATAGGGCATTATTTATAAAGTGATACACCCAAATTTTCAAAGTTTTTGATCATGATAAAATTTACACAAATTGTAGTTCTATCAAAATTAAAATCGTTACCCAAATGTTTTAACCCGCGACCAACGGGTTCTCTACTTAGAGGGCTTGAATGTTTACCATTTTGGCCGTCGCAATGCGTCGCGTCCAACTTTTAATTGCGGTAAATTCCAATAAACTACTCCGATTGTAAAAAGCAAAGGGTGGTTTCAAAAAGTTTTATTACAACTTTTAATTCTATGAAATCAGTTTTTTTTTTAATAAAAATTTATTTAAGATACTTGAAGGTCAAAATAACAATTTTTTTTTCTCAAATTTAGACATCTTCGATTTTCTTCGAAAATATCTTAAAAAAGTAGAATTCTTTCCCTTTAAAACGATTCCACGATCAAGATTTTTAAAGATATAGTGTGTTTTAGGACCGAGCTCCTACCATCGATGCAAGCGGGCACTGTTGACAGTGCCACACAGTGACGTGGCGCATACGTACATGTCTTCTGTCTTTTCCCTGCGTGCGAATCCTCTAGAGGGATACTCGATTCTCGCATTCTCGATTCGAGCCGCGTTCTCATTCTGATATCATTCTGTGGCTCAAATGAATAGAGCGTTAAATAGAATATCATATGATTTTTTATCACTTTGAATATTTTCTTATAATTTTGATATTGATCTTTGGCTTCATCCCGTACTTTCAGTTTTAATTTGGGTTTGATTGTGACTTTTATTTTAGCGTTTTTTTTTATTTTTATTTTGATTTTTATACATTTAAATAGGTTATAGCGTAATTACGGCAACACAGGTAGGGTGATCTGATCGATGTTTCAATCCTTTTAAGAAAAAGATCATGGAAAAAGATCTGCAGATCCTTGCAGACCATGATTTAAGAAACATCTCGAAAACTCTGCTTTTAAAGCTTCCAGGCGAAATTCTAGTGAATGGAAAACTATGTAGATCTAGAAGAGAATTGTAGACAAAATTACAATCAAAGAACTATAGTTCTCTGTTTTTTAAATCAAATCTTTTTCCAAGATCTTTTTTTTTTTAAAGGATTGAAACATTGATGAGACCATCCTACCTGTATTGTCATAATTACGCTATAATTTATTTAAATGTATAAAAATTAAAATTAAAATTAAAATTAAAAAATTATAAAAGTCATAATCAAGTCACAATAAAACTGAAAGTATGGGATGAAGCCAAAGGTCAATATCAAAATTATAAGAAAATATTGAAAGTAATAAAAAATCATATGACATTCTATTTAACGCTCTATTCATCTGAACCACAGAGTGATATCAGAATGATATCAGAATGAGAACGCGGCTCACACGAGAATCGAGTGTCTCTCCAGGGGATTCGCATGCAGGGAGAAGACAGAAGACACGAATGCGCCACACTATTGTGTGGCATTGTCAACAGCGCCCGCCTGTATCGTTGGTAGGCGCTAGGTCCTAAAACACATTATATCTTTGAAACTAAAAATCTGCCTATCTTGATCGTGGAATTGTTTCAAAGGAAAAGAACTACCTTTTTTTTTACTTTTTTTTAAGATATTTTCGAAGATGTTTAAATTTGAGAAAAAATGAGTTTTATTTTGATCTTCAAATATCTTAAATAAATTTTTATTAGAAAAAAACTGATTTCATAGAATTAAAAATCGTAATAAAACCTTTTGAAACCATCTTTTGCTTTTTACAATTGGAGTTAGTCTATTGGAACTTATTGCAATTTGAAGTTGGACGCGACGCATTGCGACGGCCAAAATGATAAACATTCAAGCTGCTTAAGTAGACAACCCATTGGTTGTGGGTTAAAATATTTGGGCAACGGTTTTAGTTTTGATAGAACTACAATTTTTGTAAATTTTATTATGATCAAAAAATTTTGAAAATTTGGATGGATCACTTCATAAATAATGTCCCATATATTAGTTGCACATACGTTTTCGAAACGTTTTATAACCATTTACATAACATTTCGGAAACGTTTTTAAACAATGTGTGTTATCTAGAAAATTTCTCTAGAGATTATACCTATTATTTTAATTATATTT